AAAGAAAATATAAATATTTACATGTAATAATCAAGTAGATTGTTTTTCTAATTTCATTTTCAAGGGTTTTGAATTAATACCAGAAAATTGAATAAATATCAGAGAAAAGAGAATTACATAGAAATATATCTTACAGGGATTATATTTGTTTTATTTTCATTTAAAAGCAGCACTTATTACTAAAATGCAAGTAACTTGAAAACACAATTTTGTTTCAGGATATACAAAAATAAAAAAACATGAGAAAATGATAATAAAGAATCAAACAGGGTATCTGGAGGATCCACAACACTATGCACGCAAAGACTCTTAGACATACACATAAATAGACATAAACTCAGACACACGTACATATACTCACACATGCTCACAGACCCACAAACACAGACACACACACAGGGACACATACACACAGAGGCACATTTCCAGACACATACTCACATATACTCATAGGCACACACATACACACAGAATCATATGTGCACGCAGGCACTCATAGGCTCACACACTGGAACACACAGATATATAAATCCTCACAGACACACACACACAACCCACCCAACTCTCCAGAAGATGTGCTTTCTAAATCAGTCTAGATTCCTATAGTCATCATCTCAACCATAGTGAATCATGTTTACATAAATTTTCTGTAAAACATTCAGTTATTTTCTAAGACTGATTTCTAATCTCCAGTACTTTGTGAATAATGATGCTTAAAATTAGTGGCTAAGGCACTTGACTGCTAACCAGAAGGCTGGCGGTTCAAACCCACCAGCCACTCCTCGGAAGGAAGGTTGGGCAATCCCACTTCCGTAGTGATACTGCCTCGGAAACCCAAGGAGGGGTCGCTATGAGTCAGGGCTGACTCGACGGCACATAACAACAACAACAACAACAAAATTTTCATGATATATTACTAACTTGAGTAGAATGCAATGAAACCTTGGACAGAATTTTGGTGAAAAAGAAAAAAAAAAGGGAAAGATGCTAATGTAATTGTAAGAAGGAAGAGAACCTAATAGAAATATTTACAGACATAAATTGGAAACTAGGGAGTTTAAACGGAAAGAGGGTGAGAAACAGTGTCATGTGTTGTAGAGATCATCATGCAATAATAAAGCATTAGTCTTAACTGTTTGCTAGAGTAGCATTAGTGAGTTCTAAGGGAACTAACTGATAAGACTAACAGGATATGAAACTGGGTCAAATGAGATTATGGAAGTAAATTGCCCATCTCCCTTCGCTGGAAGAGCTGGTGGGTTTGAACCACCAGCCTTCTGGTTAGCAGTCAAATGCCTTAGGCACTGCACCACCAGGATTCCATATAAATAGGAGCTCTGGTGGTGTAGTGACTAAGGCATTTGACTGCTAACCAGAAGTCTGGAGGCT